GTTACATTTGATTAAGTAGTTCCTTTTTTGTTTTGTTTTAACTGAGTGTTGCCCATTTAGGCAATCAAACTTTCAAGTACCAAGACTATCGTACCATATGAATACTACTATCTTCCATTTTGTCGTCCTGATGGAGATTTACTGTACAAATCAGAAAATCTCGGTGAAGTCATGCGTGGAGATCGTATCGTAAACACTCCGTACCAGGTCAGATTTTGCAGTAAAAATAAGCATCCTCGAAATTGACTCATTTATTGTTTCTGATTGTTCTGCGGGTTACCGCCGATATTGGCCTAGCGCCTTTCCACGTTATTCGTGTGAGTGCTATTAAGTTACGGTGAATATACCATCAAAAGATGTGTTAGGGTACCCTGCAGTTGTGTTTTCTTGAGCATGTGCTCTGAAAGTGAGAGGTGCGGGTTGGTTCCCGCCTTGGGCCAAGATTTTTGCTATGACCCAACGTTTCTGCAACAACGATTCATCTATATTTTTAGTTATTTATGAAAGAGGACATAGCATGTGCTTCTGCCTGCACAAAGGCTGAACCGGTGGAGGTAAGCGCATCGGCAGCGAAGAGGTTGATGGATCGCATAAAGGAGGACTATCCATGCTCATTTGTGAGTTCAATAGATTCTTATTGGCTTTCTAATATTCAGAACGATCTCATTCATTCAATATTTTGAAATATGATTTGTTGTATAATAGGCTGGTAGACAATCTTCCTTCTGCTACAAAGTACGAAGTGCCGAAAACTGGAGAAGTTTTCTATGACCTCGGCTATAAAATTGGCTGGGTCGGCGAGGATGGCAAGGTATGAATTTTTTGAGATCTTTTTTTTATCTTGCAACCTCTTTATTATTTTTTTATTGGAAGCTGTGTGCTTACGTGTTTTGATGGCATGCGCCAAACAGCACTGTTCACGCTTACGTTACATAAATTGAAGTATTATTGATTATGATTGAAAGCGTAAATTTCATATTTTGATTTGATTTTAATAATGGCTCCTGAGTTTTCCATACAAAACCTACCTTACATTGGGATTTCCAATTTGTTCCCGACTAAATGTGAGGATAAGGGCGCGGTTTACCGAGAATGGCGGTCCAGGCAGCAATTCTGAATGAGCTCGGTCAAAGTTCTCAGAATCTCGTTTCATTGTTTGTGATGCGTTCGGCGAAATTGTGGTGGGAAGAACTCATTTACAGGTATTCCTGAATAATCATTTGGATATAGTGATGCTCTATCATGAACACATGCCTGGATTGTACCGTGTCGTTGGTTTTGAAGTGAAACCTCGATCGATAAAATCTGTTACCTTCACAAAGGATAAGGTCAGCATTTTATCGTTACATTTATTTCTTTCATTCTTGTATTGTTTCTCCTAAAGCTTTCCTTCTTAGAAGTGTACTGATCGGAAGGAAACAAACTTTTACGAATTAAAAGAAGAAGGTCAGCGGATTCATTGGACTTATAGTGTGACATGGGAAATTAGTGATGTAAGTTTGTGTAGTTTTTGTAGATTGAGCCTATTGCGATGCACTGCTTATGTGAATGCAATTAACACTTAAAATTTGTTAAAGTCAAAGAGGATAGTCGAAGTATTGGTTTTGAGTAGTCAAGTTATATAAGCGCCCGCTCTTATCATTCAATGAGGCTTTTTAGATTCCACTCACAGCCATTCAGATCTTTTACCACCGTCGCCGGCGAAGCTCCGCTTGTGGGATGTCTACTTGTCAGTCAAGGCGGTTTGATATTCACTGGTTCAGCATCCTGAATTCAATTGTCGTTGTGTTGTCATTAAGTGGTAAGTGAATGTTCTGAATTTCCGTAGCCCCTAATTATGTGAGTGTTTCAGGTTTCTTGAGTGTATCTATTGTGCGTACTGTACGTCGTGATATTGCTCACTATAATAAGGACGAAGCTGAGGTATGTTGTTATGCCCCCAGTTGCCGCGCTCGCACGCGTAACAAATTATGTTGTAAACATTCTTTTCTTTAGGATGACACTCTTGAAGAGACGGGATGGAAGCTTGTTCATGGTGACGTGTTCCGGCCTCCACCACATCAGATGATCCTTGTGAACATGGTAGGAACTGGTATACAACTGCTCGGTATGGTCGGAGTTATTGTTTGTGAGTCTGTTCATCTATGCTTATCTTTCCTTTTTGTTTTGTTTTATGCTAATACTGCGTTTTCTAGTAAAAGACCCACATTAGGTAAAGGTCAGGGTCGACCAATTGCTTAGGCTCATGTAGTCGGTGAGTGTATCGAAGAAGCCGACGAAGAAGTCATGGCTTTTTGGAACATCGGGCTCTATGAAGCGCTTATTAGCGATAAGTTACAAACTCCGACACCTGTCTATCTCACTGATTTCATAAGGCCGGCAGCACTTCTCCAGAAATTTGTTTTGGAGTTGCTTTGTCTTCAAAGCCTTCTGTTTGCAGTCTTTGCAATGCTGGGAATGTTATCACCGGCAAGCCGTGGATCGCTCATGTCAGCAGCTGTGTTCTTATTCTGTTTCATGGGTCTCGTCAGTGGTTATCAAGCTGGTCGCCTATACAAGACATTGAAGGGACGCAACCCAATTAGATGTGCAATTCAGGTTTTTCATACGCTATTCATACAATTTGATTCGTTTACTTCAATAGCAGGCTGAACAGCTTCCCTGTTGCCGGCATATTTTTTTACGACTTACTGTTTTGCCAAGGGAATTAATTCATTCGTGTGTCAGGCTTTATGTGTGCCTCTCACAACTTGACTCTTACAGACTGGAACTCTCTTTCCATCACTCATTCTTGGAAGTGGATTTCTTCTCAACTTCTTCCTCATTAGCAAGCAATCTTCGGGAGCTGTGAGTTATTCTTGCAAATGGAAAGGATTTTGATTGATACCTGCGTATGAATACATCAGCTTTAGTGTCACTTTTTGCCAGAAAATCTGTGAAAATTTTTCGTTGTTAAGGTTCCTTTCGGCACTATGATTGCCTTGCTACTCATGTGGTTCGGAATTGACTTGCCATTGGTGTTCCTTGGATTTTACTTCGGATACAGAAAACAGGTCAGTAGTTTTGAAAAGAAATTGCGCTTTGTTTTATATACTTTTCGTTTATGAGTGTTGCTTGAAAACGATGGAATTTGTTTATTTTCCATCTGTTGGCTTTCAATACAGTTGAGGGCTAAATAAATTGAGCGTAAAATCTTAATCGGCTCTGGTGAATTGTTTATTGTTAACGTTCCTTCGGCTCCCCCACTTTCTGCACGATTTGGGGCGCGGCCGCGGCGAGCGCCGGCCGAGTCGATAGTGCCCGCGAACTGTGTGGGTAAATTTGAAAACGCATCACCACCACAGTTCGCGGGCACTATCGACTCGTCCGCGCTCGCCGCGGCCGCGCCCCAAATCGTGCAAGAAAGTATGGGAGCCAAGGTACTCCTCGCATTTCTTTGAATGGTGCACCATTGATTGGTCTAGGATCCAACTTGGAATTCGTTAATATTTGACTCTTATGGTTATTTTGACTACCCGCTCACTCCATGTTTTGTTTTTCAGCCGTATACTCATCCAGTGCGCACAAATCAGATACCGCGCCAGGTACCAGATCAGCCGTGGTATCTGCGAACAATACCATGTACATTGCTCGCAGGAGTTTTGCCGTTCGGTGCAATGTTCATCGAATTATTCTTTATTTTCTCGGTATGTTAAGTTATTCTTGTTTCCATACCTTACCGCTTCTTTTTTATGTGTGTATATAAACAACTTAACTGTTTTCTTATTCGGAAATTGGGAATATTGCAGGCAATTTGGGAGAATCAGTTCTATTACTTGTTCGGCTTCCTGTTCATCGTCTGTATGATTCTCGTTATTAGCACGGCGCAGATTTCTGTTGTAGCCACTTATTTCATGTTATGTGCAGAGGTGAGCCCAAAATTTTTGCCAATGGTCACTCGTGCCCTATGAAAAAAATCAATTTTTCCAGAACTATCGTTGGTGGTGGAAGTCATTTATTGTCAGTGGAGGCTCTGCAGTCTATGGTAAGTTCTAGCCTTCTTTTTAGTTTCGTCGGATTTATCTTAACTTGTGCCCTTCACTTGGTTAGCGTCAAAAATTGCACAAACTCATTTGAAGTTTTCGTGCGTGAAGATTACTTTATTCCTGTGATTTTATGGAACGACTAGTAAGGCCTCACCTCTTTGCCAACCATTCAAAATTGAAATTTCAGTCATGGCATACTCAATCTTCTACTACAATACCAAGCTTGACATCGAAGGTTTTGTGCCGACGGTGTTGTACTTCAGTTATTCTGCTCTGATGGCGATCACATTCTGGTTCCTAACCGGTACAATCGGATTCTATGCGTCATACGCTTTCTTGCGACGTATTTATGCCGCTGTGAAGATTGATTAGAAGATACTGGACCTGTTTCTACTAAATCTCTAGTTTTTTATTCCCTGTATACATTATTTTCAAATTCGCGTTATTTGGAAATGGCTGCCCACATGGTTATGAATTGGTAGGTGTACTAAAAATGCATGATTGTCATTAGAGGTGTTATTGCAGTCATGAGCGGTGATTGTGCCCTAAATTGATTTTGGTTACTAGATATCTCTGTTGTCTGAAACCATAAAACCGCAAGACTATCGTCGTTTTGCTTTGGCCTCCTAAGGTTTTGTCTGGTTGCATTATTAAGAGCGTTTTTTCTTCTTGTTAGGCATAGTCTTGCCGCACCTACATTCCTTCGATCAGGTGGCAATTCGCAAGGAATTGTTTGTCTTTTGAAGGCATTCACAAAGCTGATGAATGTGACGATGTGAGGTTTGTAAACCGGTACTCTTAGCGAGATGATCCAAGGGAATGTCACTTTCTTGTCCAGGACATTTTTCTCTTCCGCTCTCAAATTGCTTCTCTTTCGCATAGATTTTCTGAAGGTTTAGGGTCTTTATGTTAACCGCTATGTGTATGAGAGTAACAGGAAGGGGTTCTGGTGTCAGTGCGACCAACCTGTTACCGTAGCGTTGCAGTGTCGTGGGTCCGCTTTAGAAAATCGTTCGCCATTCGTTGAACTGCGAGGAGAGGATTGTAAGGCATGTCTATTTAACATCTGCTTCCATTGTCTGATCGCCTAATTCGATCTGTTGGCAGTGTTACTTCTCCAGGCGTTAAATTCTGTCCAGTGCCAGCAATACAATTAGCGTGACAGTGTATTATTGGTTTCTGTGGCTCCATCTGGGTTTTTCCCATCTGTGCTTGTGATACGCTATTAGGAATTACGTTGTTCTTGGGAAATCACTTTAAGCTGTTCTTTGTGGGTGTTGAAATGCGTTATGTTGAAGCATCTCGAGGTTTGCATCTCGTACGTGCTTCTCCTTTTTTTCCTTTTTTCATAATTTTTCTGCTCTTCGGTGGCCATGAAAGCTAACGCTCGGCTTTGGTTTTCATGATTTTCTATTGTATTCCTTCTGATTAACATGGGGTATGAATGTATTTAGTCGTGTTCCTTTGTGATTGCCACCCACCCCGCCTTTTTATAGTAGTTGAAATCTCTATAATAAACTTTTATTCAGAACTAGTCAGCTGTTTTGCAGAAATGAAAGTTTGCGTCTTCTGTTTATGTCACAACTTGTGTGGAACTAGATTTCTAAGTGACGTTCATAACGACATCTTGTTTTTTCATCAGAAGGAGAGAACGGCAAGAGGAGATCCTATCGTGCCGTTACGTGTACGGTGCGAGGGTGTGGAGGAGTTGTGGAGATTCATTTCTGGCAGGTGGCATGGCTGACGAGGACGTTGAAGTCGTGGCCGATGTGCACCTAGCTGACGCTCTCAAGGCAAGGTGAGTACAAGATATTCGTTCGTAAAGCATCATCTTGCTCGAATTAGCAATGAAATTCTGATTTCTGATTGTACTTCTGTTGTTCGTTTATTACGTCAAGGTAGAGCTAATGGTCTTTGAAGAGGTTTTCTCCTCCTCCCTGCGCTCTTTTTCACCCATTGCCACTTTTCCTTTCCCATTTTCGTAGAGCAGTTGGCTTGCATCCGCAGGTCTTGGCTGAGTCAGCAGCCATCATCTATTGTATTGTGACAATTATAAAGAAAAACTTAAGGTGCCATGACCATTTCTATAGGTAGTTTTTTCGTCAAACGTTTTTAATAGTTCAGTGCTATGATTTTCCGATTTCATTTGTGTTGCCTTTTCGAGACACAGTTTTGGTCGAGGTCATGCTCAGGGCGGGGGGGGCCTTGTTATTTGCAGCTCTTAACCAAAGTAATATCTAGTGTGGTTCCTGTCAACCATCATTTTTTATCTTGCTGTCGCTCTCATGAAAGTATTGCTAGTTGATGTTGCCCGAACGCACAACTTGGTTATGCATTTCTTGAAATAAGTACTATATGTTACATGTATCATTCAACTGATCCTTTTGATGTGATCAATTTTAGCCATCACTCTGTTTCAAATTATTAAGATTGCTTAAAATGAGGGCTTACTCTACAGGCAAAGTCGTGCTGCACGACTCCCTTCTGTTTTGTAGGATAGGCCCTAGAGAGCAATCGCAGATGTGACTTCCGGTGCACGGGAGTCACACAAACAAAGCGCTAGGCCCTGCAAAGATTAGAGTGACAGCAGCTGCAAGTTCTTCTTCCATCGGACCCTCATCACGGTTGCGCTCTCGCGCCTCATGACGCTTCTCTCACCGCAATGTTCCCTAATTTGGCCTAAGCACCAGCCTATTGCAGCGTGAGCAAAGCCTTACTTGAGTGTTTTTTTCCGGATGTCCTCCCTTTTTCATTTACTGTCGGCCGATGCACCACTGCCATTCTACTGGGCGTGCGAGAACCACACCAATTTGACCCTGGGGCCTACCTTTAAGGCTCTGTTCAGAGATGTCCGCTTACGCGAAAAAACGCATAGGCGAAATAAAATGAAATATGTGTATCGACTGAGCGAAGACGCACAGGAGAATCGTGAAGTGGGAGGATCGACGAAAATGAGTATCATACGCATCGACTTCCGAACGCTTCGCTCACGCGATTTTCCGCCCGTCCGTTTCTCACATCGATACATATCAAACTCTCGACTGAAATTCGCCTACGTTTCGCTTACGCGCTCCCCGATTTCCCAATCGATGAGCAAATCTTGGCGGAGATTTTCGTTTAATTTCGCCTCTGCGTTTTTTCGCGTAAGCGAGCATCTGCACAGGGCCTAAGCTTGAGTGGATGAGAAAAAAGTGTTTTTTTTTCAGAATTCTACTCATGTTTGGTGGCGTCGTGGGTCTCCATCGTCTTTACCTCGAGCAGATACCTGAAACATTTATCTACATATCAACGGGCGGCGTATTTCTGTTGGGTCAGTTCCCTTGAAGCATCAGTTCTTTTCTGTGCTGACCACTTCTAAAACTACCCTTATTGGTACCTATTTTCAGGAGTTCTGTACGATAGCTTCTTCTTAGGTAAACAAGTAGAGTTCTACAACATGCTCAAATTGGGCGAGGGAGAAGAGATGAAAAAATACAAGTGCGTGTTTTGTATTATCTCGCTCGATATTAGGGAGAAGAATGGAATGACAGTTATCGCCCGTTTAGAAATGGGAAGCTGATGACGAACCTGTCTCGTATGGTCCCTTTCTCTCTTCCTAGGTTTGCCGCGTCTGTTGCATATGCCATGTGGCTTGGTTAGTAGGTTATTTCGTTTCTTCACATGGTTAACCTTTCGTTGCCAAAACCATATTCCTCATTAGCGATTGCCAAAGTGAATAAAGTGTCGCTTTTCAGGTTTTCTTTGCTGGACAGCTGGTAGTGTGACATTTGGTAAATCGACGGGTGATAGCATTCTTATGGTCTCGGCTTTGGCGGCAGCAGTGACAGCTGGTACGTTTTTCCTTTGCTTCATTATATGTGGTAATACACGGGATGAAATGTTTCCATTTACCGTGCCCTAACCTAAGGTCAGAAATTGTGCCAAACTGTCCAGCAAGGTAAAACACCTGCATGTATACATTGATCGGTCCCGCAAGAATTTTACTGGCTTTATCGCGCGGCGAGTAATCTGCCGGCCGGATCGTTTACAGTGCTATTTCTCATTATGTACCCTCGGCGTAGCGACGAACCCTCTGTGCTGTGCTGGCTTTACTTTTTGTGCCTACACAT